TCAGGGCAGCAAAAAGGGCTTAAATCAGACGGCTGATGAATAAGCAGGAAAGCCCTGTTTTCTTCCGGAAATATCTTTTGTTCGTTATGTAGATTGTACATGCATTTTAAAAAGCATGCAGAAATCAAAGCTTAACAGACTACTGTCGCGATTGGTGAATGATGAATTTTGTTCCGCTTTTGTCGGGAAAAAGCACCGAAAAAACCCGACCGCTTCTTATGGTTGCTACATTTGGTTGCCAAGTGACCAACTCTTTGTCTTCGGTTTCACTGGGACCAAAAACAGAAGTCTGCGTACTCCCAGGTTGCTACCACAAATAATTAGACTACTTTTGAATGATCTGGACTCAATCGTGGCACAGAAATGATCATGTGATCAGTGGCAATACAAACTGCTTGATAAGGGACCCAAGATCGAGGCACGTATGTTTTTCTTGTCTGCAACCCCAGTTTATGGATAGACTGTTTGTTTCAATCTGGCCAACGCGTTAACGCATGTGCCCTCGTTTTCCACCAGACATATGACCGACTTTATGTGAAACGGTGATTTTTCGCCCTGGATCGTGACCCAAGTCTGGTTTCGTCTGTACTGACTTGATCCGTCAATGATAAAGATATTCGCTGCGAGACCAACACGGTGAGCCTTCATTGTGCCTTTTGATATTGTGTGTGGTCCCCACTTGCCAATCGCCAAAAGGGGTTAGCTTGTCTGTATTAGAATTTTCCGGCCTTTAGCTACGTGCACTATAATATAACCAGATGTAGTGGAAACAGTCATTCTACCCACACGCTCTAACGCATCATTGCTGCTCTTAGCACATGAATAAATATCTTCATCTGCAACTGATCGATAAACATACACAGGCAAAGTAATGATTCGCACGACGAGTGAGAATTCATCACTTGTGTGGCCAATCATCACGTGACCATGTGATGTGAATTCTGTCACGATTCTACCCAGCGCGATTTAGGCCATACCAAAAAAACCCAAATGCCTCACCGGATAAGATCCGTTACTTTGACATTCGGAATAGCCCACCTATTTGTAATCCCCGCTCCGCTTTTGTGTTTAGTGCGTGTGTATGAACTGGCGTTTGTTTGTCCCTACCATTTCACTCACTTGGCCTTGAGGTCTTCTGGCCATTTTGTGGCCGACCTGTAGTCCAAGTGGACCGTCTGTTGTTAACGGGTACCTACCGTCTAGGTTTGTATATTTTGTGAATTCAAGTCTTACGTCAACAGTACCGTACAGAAACCCAGTTCTGAATTTGTTTTTCCTGCCCGGAAGTTCTGGTATTGCGCGTTTGCCCGTTACACTGGTTGGTTATCAATTCATCCGCCTCAACCTTGAGAAAGAAAGTTCAACCAGGCCTCGCAGGTAACGCTCACTTTGTGAAGTTTGCCGAATTCCTCTCAAAGTTATCGTTAGAAAAAAAAATTTCCATTCAAATGAAGCAAATCTGGGTGATTTGGACAAGGGAAAGTTAACGCATTCCCTCGAGACCAAAAAATCCTCTGGCTTGGATACTGTGCCCCTCCGTATGTCGGATTCCGTTTCGCGCATATTAATCACACTACTTTGTAAATTTGTAGGCTCAGACTGATCGAAAAAAACAGGGTAATTTGACAAAAACTACAACCGAATTATTGGGTGAACATTAATCACCCGCCGCACAACGATTCACTTGGTCCAAAGATTTTATTCTACAATAGGTACAGATAGACTGCTCCCACAAATGAGTGTGTTTCCGCCGGGCACAAAAACTACCAGAAGATTTATTGCTTTCGTTTTGTTTGTTTCCTTTTTCCCCGGGCTCTCTCGAGCTGATCAAGTACACATGCACCCGATCTCCATTTTGAATAGAAATGAACTGGGATTTTATTTTCCCCACAAAACAATGCAGCCCTGTGAGTAGGAAGATGCGCACGTGACATAAAAAATATCAGATTTATTGAACTTCAGTAGACATTTGATGACTGAAGAGTAATTAGAGTAGCCACGAGTGAAATGTAGTGTAGTCCTCCTTTCGAAGGATCACATACAGCAACAAGTCCTCAGGAGAGCGAACTTCACTTCCGATGTCTTACCTTCACATCCGTCTGAGAAGAAGACCCCGTATGACAGGAGGCTGAATTCATGAGTTGGTTTTATGCAATTACCACTTCTCAGACTCTTTTCATCATTCACCAGGAGCTTCCACGTAACCTGGTTGGTTTTGCAGTTCTTGTCATTCTTAGTAAAGTGTGAGGAAACTTCGCGAAATTCACTCAAACGTGATTAATTTGCTTTTGATGGAAAACTCATCTGAATCCCTGTCGAATGAAGCCTTCAACTGGGCACTAATCGATATATCGCAGTATAGTTTCATGAACGAGACCACTCGCGAAAATTATTTCCACAGCCCATGACCGGTTTCACCCTTCTTGCGGCTAATCAGGTAAGCGCAGTCCCCCAGTTTCCGTCTGTGTTCTGGGTGAACCCAAATTCGATAAATACACTCATTCGCATATCAATTCGGTTTTCGCGGGGACTCAATTGAATCTCTCATTTATGATGTTCTTCAACTGAATGTGCTGTACAAAGGACATCTCACGTCTCAGATGGTACGATTTTCGAGATATCGCACCCCATTTTCATCATGTAACACACTTGCCATGAGGCTGCTGATGACTTTAACACCTCATTACCAGCCTCGTCCTTCTTTGGGTTCATCAGGTAGGTGCAGCCGTCGAGTTCCCGCCAATTTTTTGTTCTGCTTGATACCAGAATATACGCGAACAGTGAAACACCGTCATTTTTAAAGGAATTCGGTTGTAACGAGAGATTCATCTGAATATCGGCTGAATCCTTCGTTTCATGGAGAACAAACTACGCTGTTTTACCTCTAGAGAGCTGGAAACTCTTCGACAGCCCACGACCGGCTTCGGCCCACCCTGTGCTCATCATATAGATGCAGTTTCAGAGTTTCTGTCAACCCTACGCCGCTGATAAGACCCCATGTAACCGAGATGACGTGGTACAGCCTGACGTAAGCGTGTTGACTGCTGACCTTGACGATGTTCGAATATCACGCACACGCACACACACTTCTGTACACAACAAGGGCGTACGTTTGTTTAAAATCCCCCAGACTGCGCCCAACTGATGAGATCCAACAAGGACAAATGTGGTGATAGACTATCGAAGAGACTTTTACAATATTACAAGTAGTATGCTAATTCAAGACAATCGGTGTTTTTCTTCTAGTTACCTAGCACCAACTATCTATGGGGGCGAGATGGCTCAGTGGTTGTAGAGCGCGAATTTACTGACCGGAAGGTCCGTGGTTCGAACCCGGCCTATGCATCTCGACTTCCCCTGTCTAGGCTTGGGCAACCTGGCAGTATCCCAGCCCTCGTGATCCTTCGACTGGCATGGCCGCGAGAGAGTGTTACAGCTTAGCGACACACACATGACAGCGTACCACATGAAGTAGGCTTGATACGCAGGTATTTTCTACCATTTGGTAGTAGATCATTCCCGAAGCATGCTCCGTGCCTATATAACTACGCTGCGCTGTACCACATGAATTTGGAAGTGGATTGATCGGGTAACGAGCACCTCCACGTGTACCTTTACAATCGATTAACTGGGACGACTGTCGCATCTGAATCGCTTGGCACTCTGTTATCGTTGACCTCGGATCTTTCCTGACGTTTTCTCTGTAACTTGCATATGTACTAGGACACGCCTTGGTGAGTTTTTCAACAGTTCCGGTCACGAGATTTCTGCGCTTCACTCAAAGCATTTGGCATATTTGACAGACTGGAATCTTGAACCTTGGGGGACCAACGACCAGGCAATGAAATTTACCACGGATTAAAATACGCCTCTCATCCGGTTGAAGTACAACCGGATGTCCTTGATTCCATGGTCGATGACAATGTACTAGTCTTTTGAAGTGCATACAAGGCCCGGTTGGATAACTTTGAAAGGTATCACAATGCGTTACCTCATGAATTTCCATAGACTGAATGGCATTTATTGATAGACTAGACGAGTGTAATAAACCTTTGGTAATCTAGCTTGAAATCTTGATGGAGGTTGCCCACAACCTGAAAAACGATGAATCGGTCTTTTTGTCATTCACTTTTGTTAATTTGCTCAAGGTTTTGTCTTAAGCCCATCTGGACGGGACTGTCCCCACCAAGGAACGGCCTGTTCCTAACACTTCGTTCCAAAATTGGACGAAATACTTTTTTATCGATGGTTCCAACAAGACACAGCACCAGGTTCTAGTGTTCGCTTCGTTCAGCTGGCCCCGTGATCAGTCCACATTTTAGCTACCACGATTTCCTAACCTACCCCATCTGAATTTTTTCTTTGGGGTTACCACAAAGTGGATATATGCAAGAAGGAGAAGCAGCTTGAGGTGAGCGAATAAGTCCGCATTCCATCGGAAACTGATAAATCATAAAAGCCAAATGTATAACTGGAAGTTCGGATTAGTAGTTCCTTCTGTTTTCTATAAGTAGTATGTAACGACCAGTCGAAATGCACTGACAGCCCACTATAGATTCGCTCTGTAAGTATAGGTGAAAGGAAGGAGGCCTTCGCTGCGGAGTTAGTTATTAGAAAATCCCAACTGACCAGTTACAGACTATTGGACAGGGAAGCAAAACTCTCATTTGCATCTTATTTACAAAAACTGAACATTCATCTTCTCTTGAACGCGTCTTCCTCAACTTTCCTGGATATTCATCGACTGTTGCTCAAATCCAAGCAAATGCTACACAGAGACTCCACACATTCCGCAACAGATCTCCTTTTTCAAGAGACGTAAAGCTAATTTACAAGAAGAAAACATACTACTCGCACGCCTCCTTCATCAGTAGTTTCATCGTTACATAGGTAGATATACATCCAGGAAGCAGAGAAATCAATTCCTGATCTAGACGGAAATGGATGTCTATCAGTTAACCCCTTTGCTTTTTTCGTAGTTGGCGGTTTCTTGTACTTACTATATTCGTTGTCGCTGTTTCATTCAAACGCATCGGGTTCACATTAGAAACCACACTTGCTCCCTTCTGACGAGACCATTCCATGTTTTTCTGAGCCCCTGAAGTCCCATTTACGACCAAGTTTGCTCCAGGAATATACCAATTTTTACAGACTAATTCAGGTGATCTTTGTAAAAAAAAAAGGCTGATAACATTATAGCATTTCGTTTTAATCGCTCATTGTGACAGCGGAGATTTCACATTTCAAGAAAACCTGGAAACCGTTCGGCACCACCGATTGTGTAACATTGAATAGCAGTCCTGGTTTAATCCGCGCACAGTCCTCTGCCGAAGTTTTCCACTTCAGGGGTCGGTCTTGCAAACAAGAAGCGTTTAGCTGTCCTAAAAGCGGTCAACCCATGTCGTGAAATCTCTACCATGGTGATGAGAATTCCGGAAAATGATGCAACTGAGATCAGCTCTTTGTTTTTTTTTTACACAAAAGGAGCTTTCATGTGAAAATCACTCCCAAACTGTTCGTCCATCCAAAGATTCTTACAAGTGTTTACACAGCATCCACAGAACAAACTAGCCGTGGTCAAGTGGAAACAGAAGCTGTTTGTGTGTAGTGCTCTTGAAACGAGTTTACCAACCGGACAAAGAAGAGTTTCTAGACATATGAGCATCTGAAAGGGTGTTCTTAGTGGGGAAAAACTGGGCTACAATGTGGGATAAGTTGTCGCGCTTCACGGTAACATTTGCTCATAGACTGCCCAAATTACTACGCTGGTCTAACGTCCCACCACAGGTATAAGCACAGGACAGGCGTAATACATACGCCATTTACAATGTTGTTGAAAATTCTTCGACAGCCCACGACCGGTTTCGCCCTTCTTGAGGCTCATCAGGTAGGTGCAGTCCCCGCGCTTCCGTCAAACTTATATTCTACTTGAACTCAAATCGTACGAAATTAGCGAAGTAGTCTCATTTGCACATAAATTTGGTTTTGCGGGGAACTGACCCAGCTGAATCTCTCATTTATGACGTTTTCAAGCAACTGAATGTGCCGCACCAGGCCGCGAAATCGAATTCGTTTGCAAGTGAGTCTATTTCGCCGAAACCACAGGACAGGTTTTCTTCATCGCTAGCGTTTTGACGTTCACGAACCCAATTACTTATTGATATGTATACGTACCTACGGAAGTTGAAATGCGATTAGAGTTCAGAGTTAGGAAACGGACTTTAAATATGTACTCAATTTAGCGAATATACACTCATTTGCAAACTAACTTGGTTTTTCGAGAGACTCACCTGGAACCCAGCTGAATCTCTCGTTTAAGATGTTCTCAGGCAACTGAATGTGCTGCACCAGGCCGCCTCATTTTTCAGTCGCCACGATATTCAAGATATCGCGATACATGTGTGTATTTGTAGTGCACTACTCATAAGGTTGCTGAATGAATGTTGCAGATGAGTGTATATTCGCTAATTTCGTGCACTTTGGTTTCAAGTAGAACATAAGCTTGAGGGAAACCCAAGGAGTGCGCCTACCTGATGAGCCCCAACAAGGCCGAAACCGGTCTTGGACTGTCGGCGGATTTTCAGCAACCTTATGAGTAGTGCATTACAAATGTACTCAATATGATGAGTTCCTACTTCACGAGAACCCTCCCGATTCCGAGGTAATGGTGATTTCGTTCCAAAAAGAGTGTTTTTTTACATTTCCAAGAATATCGGATTTTCAACCGCTTCGTTTATGTTTCCGTTACTGAGCAGTACTGGATGATTGAGCAGTAACTGATGGTCACCCTTAATATAGATCAAAATGTTGTTCTAGCGGCACGTAGACCACTCTTTTCTGGATCTGACTGATTTCATTCACAGAGAAGCATAAGAGTTAGGAGTGTGATTCGTTTTTTTCATCCTGTTTCGTGAATCCGATACTTTTGTGACAAGTCATCACCTTGCTACTTGATGCTTCATGAAATCTGGGAAAGAACAGGTCTTTTTGCAGCTGAATTAGCTTTTAAAGGACACCATTTGGCTGGAGTGATTACAGCGCCGAATCATTTTAGGGTCAACAACCAACTTCCTACTGGTGATCCCTCCGGCTGTTTTTTTTCAATAGCTCTGGTTCTCAGTTGGCCGTAATCTGTACCACCCATGGGATTCGGTTTTTTCATGCTGCGAACTGGGACACGAAGCCCATGGGTCATAAATAGGTATCACACGGATGATTTTTCAAAAAAAAACGAGCTGAAATAGTCAGCCGTCTGTGCTTTTTTGAACATCCTGCTTTGTGGATAAGCTGTTCGCACAATGCTAGACACCCGTCCCCGTTCCGAGTCGAACACGCGATCAACGAAAGCCGGTGGTGTGAACGTTTTTTCGGGCTCTGGTCTCAGATTTAGTTCTGCGCCCATTAGAATCGGTACATTGGGTTGATTGTGGACCTCGGAACTAAGAATACCAGATCATCACGTGCACTTCTATGCTCATCAGGCTGATTGATAGTGTGAACTCACCATCCAGTGTCGGACAGATAAGCTGATTTAAATACGTCGCTTGCCATTTTCCCGCAGGTAAGGTCTCAAAATTATTAAATTAAAGCGTGCAAAATAGGGTTTCAGGTACTCTTCATCGGTACGCCATTAAAATAGCTTTACTGTGATCGCGTGAAAAAAAAACGGCCAGATGTGTTCGTTACGTACAAATTGATGGACATTAGAACCGGAGGAATCCTTTATGCCTCAAGTATGCGCTGGCTTTTTTCGAAAAACTTTTCACTGTGACTTCTTCGAATGTGTGAACGATACAACACAAGTGTGAGTATCGTTCGACCGAGTCGAACTTTCCGGAATTGATCGACACCGATGCACTACTGTGTACATCTCGTTGACGTCACTAGAACTTATTGATCACATGTTAAAAAAAGCTAGCAGTCAAAGTGATTTACAGTGTAGAGATCAAGTGAGACATTGTCACGGCGTAACTTTGCTTTGGCTTTCCAGAAATACGCTCATTTGCAAATCAATTTGGTTTTCACGAGAGACTCAACTGAATCTCTCGTTTATGAATGTCATGGTATTCGGGATATCGAAGTATAAAGTTGACGGAAACTCGGGGACTGCGCCCACCTGATGAGTCCCAAGAAGGGGACTGTCGAAGAGTTTTCAGCAACCTTGTTAGTAGTTTCCTTTATGAAAATTTGCTTTAGTTCGTTTTTCTTCCAAATCGCACACTGATATGTTAACACAAAATTCACGACTGACACGAATAGTTACCATGTGCATGACCAATGTATGGTGTTCAGACTAACACTTAGACCTATGACCTACCTGTCAGTTTATTGTTATCAACACTGACAAGTGACCCCGTACTCAAAGTGATCACCCACAATGGAAAAATTCCACACGGCATTCTTTGTCTCGACAGAAAATTCCGTGTTCGACTCATCAGTTCTCAGCGTTTCCAAAGCGCATGCTTGTTACCGTAAAAGCAAGCTTAGCACTCACCTTTCGGTGAGCTGTTCACTTCAGGACAAAAATAGAACAAACAAAGATGTATGCATGTATGTATGTATGTATGTCAGAGTGACACTTCATACGCAGACTACCTTACAACTCATCGATGGTGGGAAGCTGAGTTACATACACAAACCTTAGTCTGTCTGATTCTGTTCCATACAGGACGTGAGAATCATTCACACTTATTACAACACCAGCTTTAGTACAAATAACCGTCGAAAGCCATTCTTCATCTAATGCCATTCTTTCCTGCATCAGTGTTGCAAAGTCAGTTATGGTGTTATAATCTGCAAAAAAGCTACTCGTAAGTAGAATTGTCGTAACAAGCTACTCACAAACTCGGCGAATATACACTCATTTGCAAACCATTTTGGTTTTCCGGGAAACTCACACGGAACCCAGCTGAATCTCTCATTTGTGATGTTCTCAGGCAATTGAATGTGCTGCACCAGGCCGCCTCATGTTTCAGTCGCTACGGTATTCGAGATATCGCGATACATGTATATCTTTGTAATGTACTACTCGTAAGGTTCCTGGAAATCCGTCAACAGCCCACGACCGGTTGCGCCCCTTTTGTGCCGAAAATTTGTCGAAATATCACAATCGAGAGATTCAGCTGGGTTCCAGGTGAGTCTCTCGAAAAACCAAGTTAGTTTGCAAATGAGTGTATATTCGCTAATTTCGTGCAATTCGGTTTTAAGTAGAACACAAGGTTGACGGAAACTTGGGGACTGCGCCTACCTGATGAGCCGGAACTGAAAGGGCGAAACCCTGTTTTGGGCTGTCGAAGAGTTTTCAGCAACCTTCTGAGTAGTTTCGTTCATGAAAATAATCTAAATTGACTTCCGCCCAGTAACTTCGCGTCCTACTGAAACGACTTTCTGGAAGAGCACGCGCGTGTAGAGGTGTACTTTTAACGTTCTGTGTCAACTTGGATAGGAAATAAAACCGTTTTTGTAGAAATGTTCGCATACACGGCAAGTTCAAATAGGCGAGGGGAGTTTCTGGCTACGGACATGACGCTTAATCAAACCGGCTGGTGTTGAATCCGCCGGGTTCAGAAAATGCAGAGTGAGCCCAACAATCTGAGTTCAAACATGGTGATAGTACGACATCAAGTGCAATAGTTTTTCAAGAAGTTGGCAATGAATCCCAAAGCAGAATATGTGGCAAAGACAGAACATCTGTTCTGGCATCTTGTTGGGAGGTACATTATTATGGCATTATGAAAATGGAGCTCTCCATTGATGGCTGCAGTTCTGGTCCCCTCAGACCGTTTAGGGCAGTAACATGGGTAAAACTTAATGTATTTTTTTGTAGTTTCATGATGTACTTTCATAAATTTGATTTAGATGATAAGCTTGGTGAATAATTCTTTACCCAGTCGAGAAACACCACAAACGCCGTACGGAACAGTTGACCTTGACATGTAAGCAAAGGTTGACCAATCAGCGGTCAAAATTCTGATGGGCCGGTAGTTAACACGCGTTCCCGTGGATTGAATGGTTTGACATCCATTATGAACTAATCACGCAAATCAGGTAAGTCCTGCATCTGACGGCCGTACTTTGAGGTGTTCAGTTGCTGTTCTTGGCGAAGACCATGTTCTTCGTTCATCAAATCGTTTAATCAACCGAGTTATCGATCTGTTCATGCCTTGGTTATGCTTCCATACACACTGAGTATTTTTCAACCCGTACGAGCCAGTCTCCGCATTCAGTAAATTTTGTGTGCCCCAAGACAAGGATGTTTGAAGAAACCGGTCACGGGAACATTCGTCATGGTAGCATTTTCTGACTCAGATGGAGCACAATATGCTCGCTTGTGACCCCCATCAACTGGGCCACGTTTACCTGTGAGCCGACTCAGCACAGTGACTACCCAAATAAAATGCAGTAATACAGTTTGGACTTGTCACAGGTGTTACCCTCTTGGCATGAAAATATATGATTTTACTGCTCCGAGTCAATGGTGTGAAGATTTGATCCCACATAAACCTAGATTTGAAGGCGAAGCTAAGCATGACATTTCGAAAATCCCAGTGTAACGACCGGTTTCAGTTCCTGTTGTAGAATAGAACGGCTTCTGAAATGGCGTTCACAGTTTGTGACATTTGCAGAGTGCCCGACCATTCACACTTATCACGCCCTACACAAATAACCGGGATTGTTCTTAGCCCAGTAGATGTTGTTTTTCAGTGTACCTGGACGGAACCATCATCAACATTTACGGACAACCTATTTGGAAGAACCAATGTAGGCTGGGCAGATCCAAGACTAGTGTGGGCCTCACCAGATTCACGTACACCCATGATCCCCATATGATTCGTTCATTCATTCCAAGGTCATGAATTCGGTCTTGTTCGCGACCTGATAACGTTTTAAGTAATTAGCTAGTTGCAACGGACCGTGACATTATGGATTCTTCGCTTTTCGAAGCCATGTTTTTCAAATTTACGATTCATTCGGTCTCCAAGATTTCGGTATGATCACGTGTTTCTTTGGCGTAGTCCAGAGGAGATAAGTATTTCTACCGAAAGCAACAAATTCCGATACTTCACTAAGCTTTACATAGACGTGAAACGCTATTCATGAAGTTAATGAAAACTCATCGACAACCCACGACCGATTTCGCCCTTTTTCGGGCTTATCAAGTAGACGTGGTCCCCGAGTCTCACATATTGGACGCATTTCGCCAACCAGTTACATTTGTTCATTAATTTGGTTTCAACTAGCGACTCAGCTTAATCTCCCTTTTATGACGATATTCTTCAACCGGATGCGCTGTCGCCTCACGTCTCAGTGTGGACAATCTGCGAGATATCGCAGTACGTGATTGTCTAGACGTGATTGGAAAAGGTATTGTACTTTTTACTACATACTCTAAACTGAACAATGCATGTATAAACTTTGTCTCTTTGTTAGCAAGCAAGAAAAAACACCACGTTGGTACCGGGACTGCAGCTTCGTAGTTTTGTGGCGCTTGGGTCTCACAATCCTATTCAGCGCCAAAATCAATGCGTGACCACGCACGGGTTATCATCTGAGTAACAAAATACCTTTTGTCCTTGCATTTTAAACAAGTTTTGTGAGGCCTGCGGATGCAACAGTACACCGGAAAAGAGTAGTTCCAACCCGACAATTTCGATCGAAATTCACCTAGCTTAAAAGTCACGTGGGATATCTTTGGGCCGCAAAAGTGTGGCAGATCTGAACACAAGAATACTGCAAACAACTGTTCTTAAGCTCCATTTATATCGAAGGTGTGGCATTGTAGCTGTACAAATCATCACTTTTCTGGCAGGTACGGTGTCATTACATCATCTGTGAGGTAGGTATGAGATCATCTCAGATACAAACGTATAAACGTCGCCTAAACCATACATCATGAGTAAGGTCACAGACTGCTCTATAATGAAGGCCTTTTTCTAGGTGTATTTCAAGAGTTAAAGAGGCAAACTTAGTGTTTGAATGGGTTTCTCGTATCTTCCTTCGTCAAACACATCCACTCAGATGTTATTCCGGTAACTATATGATTTTAAACCACAATTTGACGGGATACTTTCAGTTCACTTTCATCATCATATTCGACGGGTTTCTTGAGAAGTCCAAGACTTTTTTCGGCAAACAAGGTCTTCTAGTCGACACCTCCTCTGTGACACCTCGGTGCAATTCAGATCATCCGTAAGTTCTACTTGAACCCAAATTATACGAAATTAGCGGAATACATTCAGTTGCATACTACTTTGGTTTTGACCGAAGGGACTCACTTGGGACCCAGTCGAATCTCTCGTCTATGATCATTTTCTTCAACCCAATGTGCTGTACAATGATCGCCACATGTTCCAGTCGGTACATTTCCTTGAAAAACACCACTCACAACTTTGAAGAGTAGTGTTACTTTGCTCAAACATTGCGTGCTATTTTTGAGCGACTGCAACTCATTTTGGCATCAGTGGATCGTTGGCAAGTCTGCTTGAACTTTCGTGGATGGTTTCTGCAGTTTACAGACCATCGTTCGCTTGGCTGATGATGGGCATGTAATGACCTTGTGACAGTCATGGGACAGTGGTTACCGCACAACCCAGTCACATGCTCCTGTTTGCCGTAACCGAATGACCTCGTCACAGTGTTGTTGACACACAGTGGACGCGGAAACAGATAGTTCAGTAGATCGGATTTCAACTTCTGAATGACCTTGTGGTCAGCTGATGTGGCGCGACCAATGGCTCATTTGTTTCCAAGGTCGAGTGAAGTTCAGAACAAGAACACTGACTGATAGGTGATATTGAGCACAGATTTGCTGCACAATCGTTAAGACCTGATGAGATTTTTAGTAAATACGCGCATTATTCCCTGGCCAATCTAACCTTGATATACTGTGAAAATTTTGTGGAATCAATAAAAACGTAAAGGAAACCTTTTGACTGGAGTTCGCATCCGAGTAACTGGGATTCCCACAGGTTTTCTGTCGTAGACACAATATCAAACGCATACACGCTACCGTACTAAGGGACAGAGGAAAATCCTCACCGAAGTCTGACGTCCGTTTCCGTAGGCGTAGTGACATCAGTCTTAGATTAGGAGTACTCACTTTATATGAACCCTTTCCAGCGGCGCAATCAATCACATCAGGTTAGTCCGTTTGATCTTCCCATGATGGACAGCATTTGAGCAGCACTTGCGTTGGAGGGAGCAGCCTTGAAAAGGCAAACTTCCGGTGAACAGGGAGAAATGTATTGACCTGCAAATCTGGCGGAGTTCACCTTAACACGATTCGTTATGTTGTACCTTCCAATCGACCGAAACACGTCACCACGCTGTTAGCTCGGCTAGAGATCAAAACGGATAATGTACCACATGACACGAGGTTCCCCGGACCACCTCTACTTCCCTTATAATACAAGGTGAATTTTTCAACCGGGGCCGGTAGAACTGCAGTGGAACATCACACATTTCAATGACGAGTCACTGTGATGTTCAGCATCAGTGGTGCATTGCATCTGCCAGTGGGACTAGGCTTATCTACCGGGAGAAATGGCTGTACTTGCTTAGGAGTCGTCACGTGCTACCCAACACCTCCTGGCCGACACACAATGTAAGCATTTGAGGCGTGGTATTAGAGGGCAAGTTCCAGTTCGTCCACTATCAGAGTAAAGTGCTTTGTTTTTCTCATGGTACTTCAAACGCGATTTCCATGATCCGATTGGGTCGAAAGAATAGGCGTGAGCTCCTCAACTTTGCTGCAGGAGTAATCAGAATACCATAAAGACGGAGAAACTGTTCAC